TAATTGCTACGAATTTACGCTCGTAATTTTGACTTTATTCTCAAACCATTTTGACTTTAATCGCATAATGCTACGACTAAGCTAGAAATTGTAAGCATCATAACTGTACAGTTTAGGTATAACTTTGCAGTTGTTCAGCTGGAGACCTTTACAGGTCTGTTTACTTAAGATGCACTTAACGATTAGGATGCTCTTAATGACGATTTTCAAGAGCTTATTAAGTTGCAATCCTTTTGACTTGATAGAATTTGACTGACTGTATGCAATAAAAGGTTGCATTTTACTGTAAACATACAAATGATCACGTCACAGGCAGTGAATTATTATGAAAGCAATGCAATTACAATTTCAAGCACTATATCCAAAATCCGAGCACTTTTTAAACCTTGAAAATACTACATTGAAATTCAAGAATTTCCAGAATCTGTTCGAACACTGTATTCAAGATGTTATAAGAATACGGTATAATGTACATATATCTACTTATGTTTACAAAACTGCCATATAAATATTATTTAGTCACATCATCTGTCCATTGTAAGTGTTTGTGGACAGGCCCGTAACCAGCTATGAGGCCAAATTTTTCATGTTCAAAAATAAAATTTGTTCTTTGAATGACTAATTTGCTGTTAAACTCCTCATATGAACGCCTGCATGACATGTATAATTCAGTTTAGACAGTTTGCAAGAATGTTTAGCGTCCCTGGTATGAAAATGATCGCTGCGAGACGCTGACGGAGTGAACGAGGCTTAAGAGAGTTGTGTTGCCAGATCCAGCTATTATAAGCGTTTTGGGACTTGTCTTTTCCACTTAATTTAATACTTTAGAAAGTTAATAAAGTAGGAAGTTGCCGTTTAGAGTCAGCGATGAACTAAATAGGGCAGATAACGAGGGGCAGACAGGTGATGGGGATAACTAATAACAAGGAGCAGGTGATACTAATAATGAGAAAAGGAACTGGAAGGATAAAAATAAGGAAAACAGGAACTCAAGAGGAACATACATGTGACAGGCTCACAGTTTATATGTTTCACAGACAATTTTGTTGTCCAAAGTCCATACAACAATTGTCCAATGCACATTCAGCTCAACTATGCATATCTATTCCCTTTTAACATAACACAAGCATGATAGTTAGGATTCCGAAACACAAATTTACGTCAGCGCTTAAAGAGATTTTTCAACCAAAAATTTAATTTTAAACTTTATAAACCATAATGTCTAGTTTCCGCGAACTGTCCTATGCATATTCACGAGAGAGTGGCATTCCATCAGATGACGTAGGATGCTTATTGTATTCGTCCGAAAGTCATATACACCTAGAATGGCTTGAAGGTGAGTAAATCATGGGATAATCCATGAAATGTGCTTCCAACCATTCCCCCCCCATTTTGAAATATACCAAAAACAGTTCAAACCGCAAAAGGTTGATTAAAGCTGCAGTCTGAAACTTATTTTTTTATTGATTATGATCAGAAATAAATTTTTGAACAAGTACATAACCAGCCAGTGTTCAAAACTATCACCTTACCTTAGCACGATTCACAACGGTAAGCTTAAAATATGTTTTCTAAAATTAGTGGTACTGGTAGGTTTTCACAGGAAATCCGAGCATGCCGCTGCGTCATTATGCCACACCTGTAAACATAAAGAAGTTATCCTGCTAGTATGCTATATCACAGTAGCTGTCCATATCTGACCATTATCTGTATATATACTAGCAGTCATTATAGTCATTATCTGACTATCAACATCTGGCAACACTGCATCGCCGGCACTTAAACTGAAAGCAATCAAAAAAGCCCATGGACAGGTTTTTGATGACAGGATACGACATTCGGTAAGGGAAGCGCATAAACGTTATCAACGCTGTCAAAAACAGTAGCATTTAACACTAGTACACACAGATCTGTAGAATAAGTAGCTTACAGAATGAAATGAAATACTAGCCATGAAGAAGTCTATGCCATGTCATTCAGTATAGTTACATTTTCTCAAATCACATGCAGGCTTGGTGAACAGAAGAGACTTCTTTATAAAACATTAAAAATCTTACTGATCAAAAACTGTTGACTGGTTGGTTATATAGATTACAGAAATGTTATATTGTATTGTTATATATATATAACATAACATTTCTGTCCCCCTCACTTCTGAAATGATGGCTACGCCCCTGGTTTGTAGTGTATATAATGAGTTGTATTTGTAGGGGTTATTATAACACAATTTTTTTACATCAACCCCCCCCCCATACAGTCATGTTTTGTGGCCATACCTGGTGTAAACGCTCGGTGAAACTGGTGTAAATCTTCTCCTTTCAGTTCTTCTGCTATCTGTCCGATCTTCTGCCTCACACCATCCAGTTTCACATCTGCCTCGTTCAGGATCTCCTCAACATCTGGAACACTGAAAAAACACTAATGCTTATTTACATGCATTTAGCAAATGCCCTAATCCATAAAAAACACATACAATGACATATAAAATCTAAAAGTTACATTGTGCTATTATATGTATAATATAGCAGGAACAACTCTATCTATCTATCTATCTTGCATTTGGGAAAAAATAAAATGTCATATTTCTTACTTTCTGTTTTACTCTGTAAATTTCACAAATAATTACTAAGAAATGGCAAAGAAACACACTGAATTAAATGTGAAATTTTGAAGTAGAAAAGCAGAAATAGTATTTATAGTACAGTAAGTGTACTCCAGTAATCTTTGTTTTTAAAAAATGTTAAAAATCCTTTTATTTACAGTGTAAATCCTAAATTTAGACACATCTACTCACTTTATTTTACTATATATATAAAAACATAACAAAATATGTTTTTTAAATTATTTTAGAGCAAAATATTTTTCGTATTCATCCAAATACTTAAGTCAAAAATAATAAATAATATAAAATAATAATATTTAGATATTATATCAAATAAAAAAATATATTTTTAATAATTTAAATGTCATGAAACGTATTAATCTTAAAATTAAATTTATGAATCCTTTTTAAATTTAACTTGTAAAGTATTTATACCTACCTATATTTGTACTGACTTGAATTTATTGAATTAAAAATATATATATTGTATAACTGTGTGTGTGTGTGTGTGTGTGTGTGTTATTTAAGGGGAAAATATTTTTTTCGTTTTTACTTAATTAAAAACTAAAATTAAATTTATGGAATTAATGGAAATATATAGATTTTTTTTTTTACTTGTAAAGTATTTACACATTGTGGTAGTATTTGTACTACCTTTTTTTATTTTATTTTTTTTACTTTTTTTAAAAACCTTTTACATTTAGTCATTTAGCAGATGGTTTTATCCAAAGCGACTTACAAATGAGGACAATAGAAGCAATCAAACCAACAAAAGGGCAATAATATGTAAGTGCTGTGACAAGTCTCTGTTAGCCTAACGCAGTACACGTAGCAAGGCTTTTTGATAAATAAAAATAAAAACAAGAAGATAGAATAGAGAATGCTAGTGTCAGAGGCTCTATTTTTTTAAGAAGGCAAGTAGTAAGAATAGAAGTAGAATAGAGAGTGCAAGTGTTAGAGGGTCAAGTATTTTTTTCTTTCTTAGAATTAGAATAGAGAGTGCTAGAGTTAGAGGGTCATTTTTTATAATAAATAAACAAAAACAAGAAGAAAACAAGAAGACAATAGAAAAAGAATAGAGAATGCTAGTGTCAGAGGCTCTCTCTATTTAAAACAAAGAAGAAGACGACAATAGAATAAAGAGAATAGAGAGTGCAAGTGTTAGAGGGTCTTTTTTTTTGTTAAATAAAAATAAAACAAGTAAAAAGAATAGGAAAAAAAACAGAGAATGTTAGTGTCAGAGGCTCTCTCTTTTTTAAAGAAGACAACTAGCAAGAATAGAATTAGAATAGAGAGTGCTAGAGTTAGAGGGTCAAATGAAGATGGAAGACATGTGTTTTAGCTGTTTCTTGAATTCAAGGCAAAATGCTTTTTTTTATTCTCCTAAATAATAAAAAAAAAAAAAAATCATGAATCTCACCTGGTGACTCTGTGCAGGAGGAATATGGTCCGTTTGCTCTCAATGGTGACATCTCGACTGATCTTCACCAAACGCTCGTATTTATCATGCTTGGTGTCGAGTTCATGCTGGAATACTGTGGAAGTGTGAAAACACAGCAGTGAATGTGTAACACTCATTCATTCATCTCAGCACAGGGCACTTACCCATTAGGCAAAGGTAGGCGACCGCCTTGGGTCCCCAAAAGCCAAGGGCCCCCTAAAATGCTTTTCATATAAGATATGCGCATTAAGCGCGGACACGCGAACGGTTGCTGTTTACGGTGTTTATTACCACGACAACTGTCCGAGTTGAACGTGCTTTTTGTGTATCCTGCTTGAAGGAGATGAAAATATTATGCATCTGAAGCTGTAATTAAATATTGAGAAACCGTGTGTATTAAATGGTTATAATTGTTTTAAATGCCACTTCACTCATTTATGAGAAGGAACCAAGTAGAGGACACATACGCAGTTACTTTTTTGGTTGATATAATCCTTAGGTGTGTAAATGTATAATTGCCTTTTCATTATTTTTTCAGTTTTATTTAAATTTGTAGTTAAAATAGCTAAAAATAAATGTATTTTAAAGTTTAGAATTAGACGGCCTTTGCACACAGGCTTACGCTGGTAACTCATCAGTGAACTTTCCTCGTCAATTTTGGCTATATTTTTTCTCATTCTATATTTCTGACGTTCCAAAAGCGCCTCCTACTGGCAGAGAATGAACGTTAATTTTCAATAATCCAGTCTGTAATTTTTGTTCAGATCAATGCGAAAATCCACCCACATAACCCC